GACAAACCTTTTCAGATGTTTTTACCTTTTCTGTCAAGGGCTATTTCGTTAACTTAACCTAGGAAAAGTAGAATATTCTTTCTTCCACAAAATACAGAAATTAACAAAATTAAGTATCTATTCTGAAACACAGCCAAGCATTTATGGATGTTTTAAATAAGACAACAGGAAGAAGGAAGGAAGGATTCCCCCCCCCCCAAATAATAATAAAATCATATTTCAGAGATATTTTTTGGGAGAAAATGCCCAGTTCCAGGAATTTGATCTTAGGCCTGATGTTAATTATTGTTACAGTTGTTTTAGTTAGGTTGTCTGATTTAATCTATGTCTTTAGATATGGTTATTGTTTTTGGATTCTGTAAGCTACTCAAGTATACTAAAAGAGTAGAGCAAATTTAAGATGATGATGATGACGATGACAAGATATTCAGAGATTCATAGTTTTGCTGAATTTTTGTACATTTGTAATATAAATAATTATTGCTAGTCATTAAACCTTTTTTTTGGAAACTCTGTTTTTCTTTATGCCAGTTCTGAGTATGTTTTGTTTCAATTTCTATTGTGTGACTACATAGCTAAGAGTGGCCATCCTTTTTAGTTTTAACGTTTCAAAATAGGTCTAGGACTTGTAAATGAAACATTGAAGAAATTCATTGCCATGCTCTACTCTGTGGGTGGTGAGAAGAAGCAAAACATTTGCTTTAAGTTTCCTTCATAAAATTCAAATTGAGGAATACATAATAGTTGTTGCTGTGAACATCTGAATAAAGATAAATATACTATATAAATATTTAAATTAAATTTATCTCTCTTGGAATTTAAACTCTAACCAAGCTTGGTATGGAAAATACTTTTGGTTATAACCATTTTTTCTTCAAGGGAATGTTTTGAAATGGTGGGATCACTGCAACCAGCAACAACTGGTAAATATTAATTTGCTGCTCGGTCACCCACTGGAAAAGTGACCGCAGACAACTCTTCAAATTTGACAGACCGCTTTGATATTTCTTACCATATGTCATTACACACTTCTATCACTCTATTTTTTTCCTCAGCAAATGAACAATACTTAGTGTTCCTCATTGCCCCAAAATCAACATATTATTTTAAACTGTAATTGCTCTTCCCAGTGCTAAAGAGCTGGCCTGGGGTGGTGGAGAAACTAGAATAATTTCTTATAAAATGGAAAAAAGAGGGGAAACTTTCATGAAATTAGTAGAGAACAGTTTAAATTATTTATATGCCTATTATAAGAAACCCTTGACAAAAAATAAGATAAGTCATAAATATGAACTTCCACTCATTTGTCTTTTCATTTCCTTTAACCTCTCTGAATCTTATTTGTCTTTCTTCTACCTACGAAGACATCATAGGTAAGCAGGTCATAGGCCGGGGGCTGCATTTAGCATCCATTAAGAATCAAGAAGGTTGATTTACTTCTTTTTTTTTTACATCAGATCCTCCTACAGAATAAAACTTAAATTTTAAATAAAATTAACAGACAGAAAGGGGAAAGAAACGCTTTACCCCTCCATTACTCTGCTAGAAATCTTTGAAGGACAAGAGAAATTGGATGCCATCATCCTTCTCTTTGTAGATATGAAGATAGTTTATTGAGACAAAAACAAAGAATGATGTTTCTCTCCCTCATGCCTGCAACCTTAATTCAAAGAGCCTTGTAGTACAGTATTGTGGATTCCTCAGTCTCTCAGCAATCAATATCTGGGAAGGGAGGACACAGTAAAGGGCAAAGGTTTGTGTTTGGCATGAAACTCCTGTGCACAAGCTGTATAACTGTATAATTGTAACTATGCAGCACATGCAGAGATGGTATTCTACCTGTTTGACTGGTTCAACTGAATCGGCAGAAGATATTGTAGGAAGCCCCACCCACCCATCCCGGCTCTATGGCATCCCATTTACGCCTTTTTTTTTTGCCAAAAGCGCATTCACATGCACTCACATTTGTGAACCTGTAGGGAAGGTAAGTGAATACCATTTCTGAGTATATGCATATATAAATGTGGTGTGAGGTTACATGTTCCAGGTCCTTATTATTGCTCTCACATCTATGATGAAGTGTTTCTGTTATGATGAAGTAAAGGACTACAATTTTTTTCAGAGTATAAGATGCATCTTTTCCCCCCAAAAAAGAAGCTGAAAATCTAGGTGCATCTTATACACTGAATACAGCATTTTTTTTGCCTCCCGAAACACTGCCCCCTTCACCAAAAGGCTGTGTATAGCCTTTAGGTGGCTTTCAGAGTGCTCCTGGGGGCTGGGGAGAGCAGAAATGAGAGAAAAATGTGCCATTTTCTGCTCAATTTTCCCCCCACAGTCCCCAGGAGCACTCTCTAAGCATCCTAAAGGCTATGCAGCCTCTTTTTTTGACAAAAAAACGAGCTCATTTTCATGAAAAACGGGCCATTTTTTGCTCATTTCCCCTCCCCAGGAGCCCTCTACAAGCCTCCTAAAGGCAATTTATGGCTCATTTTGGAAAAAAATGGGCCAG